GGTGCATGTTGAAAGCACCCAGACACAACCTGTATTTATGAATAAGCAGATTTCTACATCCAGGCAATGCACTGGCTAACAGTGTGATTGCTTTTGACTACAATTGTATTATCAGCCTCAACTGGTCATTCTGACTGTACCAAACAACAAACTCATTCCCTCTTAAAACAAACAAACAGACGTCTGAATTTGCATTCAGGATCTAGGCAGAATAGGAACATGACAGTAGCATTTTATTAAGTCTGTAGGGTGTTGCGGGGGGGGGGGGAACGGGACGATTTGGGTTTGTTTCCTTTCAGTAATTAGTGGGGATAGAAAACACATGTGTTGGGATTGCATTTTTGAAGCCTTTTTCTAAATCAGTTCATCAATTCGCTAATTATAGCTGGGAGAGAGAAAAATTCTCCCTATACATATTTTTTCTTTTTTCCCCTGTAAACATCAGAGTGGGGAGAGGGGTAAATGTGTGTGTGCATGGGGGGAGATATAGCTTATGAGAAGTGGATGTTATTTCAGATTTCTGTGGGCTTTTTATTTTCTGGGAACAAAGAGCAACTGCTATTAAAGAACTACTCGAGGACTTGTGCATATTTCCACTGCTGTGTAGCAGTTTTAATAAAACATCTGTTCTTGCTTCTGCTGATGAGTTTACATAATTGTTTGCAGACCAATTTAACCAGAAATAGCCCTAGATATTTCCCTGTACATGTTTTCATGGGGGAAAATAATAAATACCTTTTGCTAGTGACATACCTTGATTAAATACTTTCGAGAAATCCCAATACTGTTTAAAATATAAATTGAATAAAAATCTAGTGCATTAAAAATGCTAAACAGAGGAGTGCAACCAGTAGAACATAATCTAATGGTGCCTCGTTTATATTTGCAGGAGTTTTTCTCCCAAGAAATCTGATTTTCAGGAGGGAAAGCATTCTATTTTAAGTTTCTTTACGGCAGCTGTTTACTGTTCACTATAAATCGACCAGACTTTTAAGCCTTGCCCTCTGTTTAGAGAAGTAATAAAACACTTAACTTTCTCCACTCCTAGTCGCACGGGTATCACACAGGTCTTTAATACAAGAGCCCCGGAGCACCTATACAAAAATTAATCCCTCCAAGCCAAGACTTTTCCCAAAACTTTAACAAGACTGGGATTATTATAAATGCATCTTTTTAGGTGAAAGAAGCTACATGAATCACACCCATATAGGATCATATCTGTATATTTTCCAAGGATTCCTGCTACTTTCAATTTACACTCCAAGTACATTTGGACCATAAGTAATACATAAGGTAAGGCAACATATCAGGAGGAAGCAAAAGATCTCCATTCATTCATGCATGCATGCATTCATTCAGTTTATTGTACATTGCCCCAGTTTCATATCTGGAAGCAGTGCAATCGTTGGTTTCCAAAGTAACCATGGTTTCAAATGAGATTATTCCTATAGGACATATACATACATACATATATTCACAGTTATAATCTATCTAACATATATGTATATGCAGACACATGCATCTGCATGTGTATGTGGCTGGGTGTGCAATATGTCAACACCAGGGGGATAGCATATGTAGCTTTTTTGTTCCGTTTTGTTTTGTTTCCATAAATCCCCACGTATAATGGCTGGGGAAGAGGGAGAAGAGTGGGGAGACAAGAAACCAAACTAAACTTCGTTTTTTTTTAAATAGCCAGTAAATCTTCACATTGGGCATAATTCGTATATCTGTACTAGGCTGGTCACAAGTTAAACACTGTAGAGTGGGAGCCAAACTATGGTCAGCAACAAGGCACATGGGCTAAATAACATGGTGTGTACTTCCAGCTATCTTCTTTTTTGGTTAGAAACTTTATTTTATTTTCCTAGTGACACTCAAGGGAAGCCTTAATGTTATAGAAGATGAATACACGAGCTTTTTTTTTTTCCAGTTGTACTCTCGTTTATGGCTTTATTGCCACCATTGATTACTTTGCTTTGTTACACAGAGGAAAAAGATCATAAAATCCTTTGGCATCCGGGTTCCTGTTATAGCTAGGGGGGAAATATAGCTTTCCCCCTCTTCCTTGTCAACTAAAATCTTTTAGGGGAGACATCGCTAAAAAGGAATTAAGTATATTGAGTAATAGCAAGAAAACACCTTCAGATGTTCGAATTTTTACCCTGCAACTTTGAGCCTGCATCTCACCAGACCACTCTACACACGTCCTAAATTTAAAATAAAATGTGTACGTGAAGAAAAAGGCCAAGGGTTTCCTGGCATAATTGAATTTTTAAATAGCAAGCCTCGAGAATGATGAATATACCTTGCAATATTTACAGATCAGCAGGTATGTTTTACATTTAAGGAGCAATTTATGAGACTGGATTGAAATTAAAATTAGATTAGCTGCCTTCATTTCAATTAGTTCTAGATGCAATTCACCAAGAGAAGAGATAATATAATCCTTTTTAATCTAACTAAATATTTGCAAAGGAAGTTTCCTAAATCTGTTGTAAATATCTGAAACCATAAATTTCTGTAAACGTAAACACGAGGTGCTGTCCTCAACCAATACCTCAAAATGTAC